CTCTTTGGCAGTATTGTGCTTCTCATCTGTGACAAAGAATCAGAAGAGATCTACTTCAAAGAGAGGACGATCACACACGAGTCAGGGGATCCTTCCAACTCCAAGACTTAATTCAACCAGGTAGTTTGAGAAAAATCCTCACAAGTAACAAATTACATTATTTGAGACACTAATGGGCACAAGAAACTAGTTCAATACTAATTATTTTCAGTCTCATAAATATAATACTTTTTGATTGGAAACATACAAGGGGCAACAGAATTGCCAACACAGATTAAAGCAATATGGCACACAAACTACCACTCATCAACCAACATGATACAGCATCATTCTGATAAAACTTCTGAAACTAGTTTCAGCGATCTGATTCACAAAGGGGAATAAAAGTGCATGTAAAAAAGACAAGCACAACCACAGAAAAGCTGCAACCATATGCAGACTCACATAGACTGAAAACATCACCTGGATCACTTCATACTCTCTTTGTGCTTTTTCTTGACATCACTCTTAAAACATATAAATAGTAATCTGCATTCACTGCATCAAGCAATCATGAGTCACACAGGGACAGAGAATCATGGCTGAGGTCTCAAAAGGGGCCAATATTTGGTTACGGACATGGAAAGTCCATACAAGGGAGGAAACCTTGATGAGCACCAGGGCATTCTCCCAAGAATTAACATTTTTTATAATTTCTAAAAAGTTGCATGATCCCACCAGTCATCGCAGGTTAGGACGTTCAAGATTTAAAAAAAGATATGTGTCGATGAAGGCGCAACATCAGACGGAGAGCAAAATGCAAATAGCATGGACAAATGTGAAAAAAAAAGGACAAGGAATAGGATGTGGACAAAGTTCCACAGCATGTCTCTATAGTTTGTACTCTGCCTTGTAAAAAGGCACTGGTAGTCGGATGTTCGTGCACTCAAAACCAAGATGGTAACAGCCTACTTGGGGAACATATTTTCAACTACTCAGAGAACTTCTTCCCCCATCAGTCAAAGCATTTCAAGGAGACCAGTGCTGCAATATTTTTAACTGAACAGCAGAGAGAGGACTAAGGAGTTTTTTTGTGACATGGCTCAACTCAGCATACAAGCATGCAATATTAATGTCATGAAAATGATGGATCTAGTGAGGGAGATACATATTCAAGTCCCACAACCAATATCTCAAGAAAACGCCTGCTGAAGCCAACTTGGACGCAATGAATGAGAATAGGAGAGTAAAAGACAAAAGTAATATGTCACTGGGGGTTGAATTAAGTCTTGGAGTTGGAAGGATCCCCTGACTCGTGTGTGATCGTCCTCTCTTTGAAGTAGATCTCTTCTGATTCTTTGTCACAGATGAGAAGCACAATACTGCCAAAGAGGAAGATGGCTGCTCCCCATCCCACTCCATATGCCCAGCCAAATTCCCACAAGTTCCTATTTCCTTTGTCCAGCTCGCCAGTGAAACATACCGGGTACACCACCAGGGCTATCAGCACTGACAACACTATTCAGAAGAAATGCAAGGACAGCAAATTCAATTGATTGCACAATTACCTAAAATGGTTACACAATGATTTTATAAATACAGTATATCTTTACCAGTTTTCTGGGTCAGTCATGCATTCACTCAATCAATCAGTTAGGAAAATAAATATAGTGCCAAAATATAAGAACCACGATTACATTACATAATCTCAAACCTAAAAAGTGTACTACTTCTTCAACTAAAACTCCAGAGGTATTTGTAATTGGATTACCAATTCAATTGGATTGAAGAAAGGGTTACTACAATGCAGAAACTGTCAAACAATGGCCACTTCTTGAAACGAGATTTCAATTAGAAGCCTTCTGCCACTATTCATTCTAGTTAGTTGCTATCTAAGAGTACAAGAGCATCCAGGGAAACTGTAGGAGTGTGGAAAGCAAGGATTTTCATGAGTCCCTTCAAGTTGTGAAGATACCAGCCAGACAAAGGTTATGGCTTCCTCCTCAATCCATAACAACTTATATTTATGACAGTCCTAAGGGTTGCCATAAATGAGTCTCCTCAAATTCTGTCAACTTGCCAAGGCTGGCAGTTGATGAGTATCATAATGCAAGCCTGTCATTTCAGATCAAACCAGCGATCCGACTCATTCCCAATTCCCCGGATGAACTTCCTTCCAAAGAATTTCTTGATTCAAAGAAAATGGACCGCGTAAGAAGCAGACAGCAGCTAGGGCCATCTATGAGCATCAAATTTGTGAACAATATAATGTACCAATGTCCCAATCGTGCATTTGCAATATATCACATGCAATTCTTACAAAGTAGGCAAAAATAGAAGATTTCTCCCCGAAAAGCCAGACTGTAATTTCCTGCCTCATACAGGGCAGAATGAGAGAAGGGTGATTCAAAGACAACATTTTTTAACGCTTTATATTCATGCTGAATCATTTCCAATCAGGAAACTCCTTATGATGAAAAATAAACAACCTTGAACTCTACTATTGATTTCCTTCCTGCATAGAAAAGCTTTCTCTGCTCTTGATCTCTTTCCCTCTTCTGACCTAAGTTCTTAAAATGAGAGCGTCTTTTCATAAGTAAATAAGAGAGGATTCATTCAATACTGCACCAATGATTGGCACGGAGCAGGATAAATTGAGGAATAACCCTTCCGAAGACACTTCTATTGCTTTCCAGTATAGAGCTAACATTGCAAAAAGAGTTTTGTTTAGGCGAGTCAGTCAAATTCATTTCCATATAGTATTGGGCATCTAAGAACACGAGAGCATCGACCAAACGAGGAACTTCGGACGTAAGAAATACTCAAGGTGGTCTGAGTGCGCGGCATGCATGAGCCAAAATGTAATCAATCATGAAAGAATGATTCGGCGTGCTTACAGGCAGCAACCATGACGTAAAGGGCGAGTCGATAATACTTGTATTTCTTAATGGGATCCTTGGTCCAAAGGCCCATGCCAGTGAGGAAGGTTCCAAAGACATCCAGGAGGAGGGCCACGATGCACAGGCCAGCAGACGCCATGATGTAGGCTGAGGAACAATATTCAAAACTATTTTTGAGAAGAAGCTCTTTCTTAGGGATTAAAATAACAATGGGCCAATGATGCCGTTGTCTCAAGACTGCGCATAAGGATTTAGGTTTAGCACATTGGCAGCCACGCACCAAAATTCAAACCTCCACATGTGTGTCACGGTCGGAAACAAGGAATGATGCGCTAGGCGTGCAATCCATTCAGTCACAAAACGTGTTACTGGGATATGTTAGCCATATAATAGAACCTGCGTCTGAGAATCACCGGTGATACTCATGGCAGCCAATGTGTTAATCTCATGAGCAACGTTCACCATTACCGAATGTTGAGGAAAATATAACCAAATTAGTATAAGATCTAGAGATTTAAAAAAAGAAGAAACAGCTGAAGTAAACGTGTAGATATTGAAAGAATGAGAGGCCTTCATCCTTTTCCTGTCTTACGAATGGGTCATTACGAGGGAGAGAAAGAGCCAAGGAACTCACGTTCATTGCGGGCCCGGTAGCAGCCTTTTTTCTGGTTGATGCCGAAGGGGAGTGGCTCGGGGGCACCATCTTCGACGCAGTGCTCGAAGAGTCCCTGTCTCCATCCATTGGACAAGAGCCAGTCCGTGGATGCCAGGGCCAGCACCATCAGCAGCACCACGATCGCCCCGCAGATGAACGCTATCACCTGGTCACACGCAATAATAACGTTGTGGATCATTTTCAGCACTGCTTGCTCTTAGCTCAAATCTAAAGAATTATGTCTTTTTCCAGTTCTTACACAAAAACAAATGGGTAAGTAAGGATGCCAATATCAATTCTAGAATACCACACATTTTTCTCATGTAAAGAGTAGAAGTGGGATCTACATAGCATCGGCTATCAGCAGCTGATGTTTAATAGGTAACTGATATTCGACCTCTTCCTCCGACCTGATGGCCCTCACAATAGGCCCTATTTACATATCCCGCTACTGAACTGACAGGTCTTGAGGGGTTAAAAGAGTGAAGTCTTAGCACCTGCCAAGCCAAAAAGAAGGCGGTCACACACCAGACCTACAGCTGTGTACTCAAAAAGCCCACTCCCTTAATCCTTACATCCCAATAGAGCACACTTTCGCGTGCTTAACATCTAAATTAAAAGCGGAATGAAAAAGTATTCCGGTGCAGGGGGAATGAGTCAGAATTTCTCCACATTTCCCCTTCGATCCATATGACATTGTCGCATGCATGTTCTCGTGCGTAATGGTTACCTCCCTGGCCGCATAGTAACCCATTCCTATCTTAATGAAAAGGAAAGGGTTTTCCCTCGGAGGCCAGGAAGTCCCAGAAAACTCGAGAAATTCCGCTACCCGCTCAGGAATGCATTTACTCCCGCTCTAGGATTTATTTGTGGGGTTTTTCTTTCGCGCTTCCGATCGATACAGGGATAAGGCCCTGATCAATGCTCTACTATGTCTTGGCCTCACTTCCTTCCGCGGGAGGAAATGGGAACTTCACACGTTCGCGGATAAGCGCGGGTGTACAGTTCCACTGGATGCGATGATGCAAAGATGAAAGGAAGGGATTGCAGTGGGCATGGTGTGTGGTGTGCATGGGGAAGATTTGCAGGTGCAAAACGTACTCTTTTAAAGCTCTTCCTATTCTGACTAAAAAACGAATTAAGTTGACGCATTTCTTCCCTCGTACTTCCTCGTAGACAAGGGCCTACAGAATGGGGTGTGGGCATGTGACAATACTGGCGTAAGACGGCGTGAACGACAATGTTGAAAAAAAAAGAGCCCAGTCATGCCGAGGTTATGCTTACCAGTGACCATCGGTTGTGCATTAAAGAGCATCAATAGCATCTTCCCTATTTTTTCTTTGCTATATCACAAAGGAATTCAGTAATCTTTCTGCGAGTTGGCTCAATGCATGCGTGATTTTCCCAAATGTTCAAATACTTGTGCTTAGGTAGGTAGGTTCATGATTTATTTTCCATGTGAGAAGCTTATACCATAGAAGCTATAAAACAAAAAGCCAATCCGGATTGACGATAGCATACCCTCCTCCAGAAGCCTTTAATGACCATTAATCACGCATAAGCGGATAAATGAGATCTCTGTCTCCTTTCAACGGAAGACATGATGGATGAAGGTATGTGAGAAAGAAGGAAACGTCTCTCCCCTTTTTGTATCACATTCTCCCATCCTCGGGAATAATCCACCTTTTTCTTCCGGGAGCTTCCTTTCTTCCTCATTTCCTGTAACGATCGATACCTATTCCTTGGTTTATACAAGTTGTTTACACCTTAATGATGCCTCTCACTTATGTTTTATGCAGATGCCTGATGAATTCCGAAGGCGTTCGACATAGTACTCAAGATCTGAGAGCAATTCTCGGGTCTTGAAGACCAATTCCTGAGAGATCGAAGACAGCATATTAAGCTTTTACCCAAAAAAGAGCCCTCAAGGGGGGAATATGAATTATACCGGGAAAAAACCCCTTGGTATAAGTTTAGCTGTGCTATTTCTGAACTTGATTCGACTGCAACAAGCTCGCGAGATGGAGATATGACTGTTTCCTCTCAAGGGTCGTCTACATCACTTCTCTCCAGAGACAGAAAAGCTGTCTGAATGTGACATTCTGACATACCCATATATGATTCATCTGACATCCATGGAGACCAAAGGCTAGATAAGAGATGGGACGGGAAACAACACAGACTTCATTTATCCCACTGAATTCCCATTACAGCTATCAATCTTCTCCAACTTTTTTTTCCTCCAGTCTTCCAAGGAATTTCTCAATTGGGACAGAACGGATACTTCGTTGATGAAAAGATAAGGTGGCGAAGATTGAGAAAGTCAAGCAAGTCAAGCTGACTGAAGAAGAATCATCGAACAGAAATAGCCGAGGCAAGTAGGTTGAATGAGACCACGCCTCTTTTACGACGATGGGTTACATCGATCCGCCGAAGGAGAAAAGGGGCCCAATTGCAGGGAAATAGAACCCGAAAAAAGGGCTCATTTCGGAAGCGGATATATCGCCACATTCACGTCTGAATAAGCAATAAACGAGAGAAACAGGATGGAGAACATGGGATTCAAGATGCGACGGTTTTTGTCATTGGGACATCCAGCGAAAGAACCAAGGAAACCAAGGAATGGGGTTGGTCATCGGCAGGGAAATTGAACCTTTACAAGGTTCAGGGGGGGGGGGGGGTTTCGTGTGAATTACGAGATGTGGGATGGGTGGTCCATTGAAGGAGCGTGCATGCACAGGGGGAACACGCAACCTGGCGACTCATCATGCTTGGGGACATCCCTTCAATCTCCGACCCTTCATGCCTTTCCCTCCGGCTCTATCCTTCCGTTCCTTCATGCTTCATCGTCGAGAACTATATTGGAAATCCGCCCGAGACAAATTATATTATCCCTCCTTGAGGTGAGGAATAAATCGATACAGTTTGTGCCGTGATCCCACGGTAAATCTCGGATAGACTGGAAAGGGTAAAATAAGCGGCTATTCCCAGAACTTTATCGACTTTCAGACTATTCCCTTCAGCGCCTGCATCCTCATTACAGACGTTATACCAGAAACTATGTTAGCCACATCATGTGGATCGTTCGTCGTAGCCATTCAGTGAGTTCCAATACGTTAAATACGCTGGCTTTCATGGTGCTTTCCTCCATAATCAACGAAAAAACGTCATCGCGTCTCATTTGAATAGCGTTCAAAGGTGACATTCCAGACATTTTGCCCTTGGACGCCTTTCAATCACTCTTTTCGATGCAAGGTGCCTGTGAGGTAAGGATAATGTAGGCCTCTTAACGGTATCTCACGACGAATTTAATTCGCTGCGCTTTTCAGACCCTGTGAATACGTTTATTGCCTCAAGTTGTTTCTTACACCACTCATTCATTGCAATAGGGAAACACTCCAGCATTTCACTAGTCCATTGCGATGCGTCTGGAGTCGACGGATCGCAAGTACTGACTTGAAGGACAGTGCATTGCCGCTTTCCGCGAAGCCAACTTTCCTGTCTTAGCTTTGATGTGGAAGGATGCCTCTGGGGTAAGTACATGAGAAGATAGACAAGATATGAGGAGAGACTTCGGTTGCCCGTCAGGGTGAAGATCGATGCTGATCCAATCCAAAACTGTGCTACCCTCAGCAATCTGATTAGCCATCCTCTATTCCTCGTATCACGTTCCTGCCGATCCCACAACCTCGGTGTCCAAAGGCAACGAATGAAAACGGCTAAGAAAATCCGGAAGTTGATATGCAAGATGCGTGAGGAAAGCCAGACACGGGATTGGAGCTACAAGAAAGCAGACACCAATGATCGGATAAACCTCGGCAGCCAAGACACAGTAGTCCCTGGCTGTCACGGCGAGGAAATCGTAACAATATCGAAGAACGAGGACAAAGGACGCGGTTTTCATCTGATAGACTCGTGAATACGGGTTGCATCTCGAGCGTGAAGATTTCATTTTTCGATGGCAAAAACCCAGCGTAGCAGCCCGTGTCTAATGTAATGTTAGAGACGGAAGGCTCACCCTAGGTTAGCATAACCCTGTAATAATTATTATAAGTGGTCCCTTCTAGTGAAATGGAGAAGCTCGTCCGAGTCTAGCTCAACAAATTAGGTTTAAGTCTATAAGCCTTTGGACAAACTCACACCGACGGGATTCCTCACTTGAGTCGGTGGGAACTGGGCCAAACTTCTCATACTAACTCACGAACGGCCCTCATGAACTCAAGAAATAAACGAATAAGAGGAGGTTGTAATTTGGCATTGAACGGTTACACTGAGTGCCAAAAGAATGCAAAGCATCCACGCAAACCCATTACAGAGGTTTACAACGTGGGCTACACAATTTAAAAAGAAGTAGACTTCGTCGCTAAATTTTCGACAGAAACCTCCGCTCCATTTCCCATTTTTAACAATTTAAAATTTAAACTTTCGCATGAATTTCATGAAGCACCTTTGTTTAGATCCCTACCTATAAGCCTAGAGAGAGAAAGAATGTTTCAAGAAAGAAAGAGAAAGACCTTGGCCAGGAGCCTCGGGACGCGATCCTTCATCTTCCAATAGGAATCGGGGAAGCAACATCGGAGGAAGGATTCTTCGCACTCACTCAATCCCCCCATCCTTCCTTCTCCTCAGTTAAAACAGTGACTGATACGATATGACGACTTGAGCGAGAAAGAAAAGAGGAGGACACGCCATAAGCACTCGTCATGCACCGGAACGAGAGAGAAAGCGAGAAAGGCAACGCTGTTCACTGATGCCCGCGAATCTCATCTCTCTCTGATAAAGCACGTATCTGCACAAAACCACTAGATCTTTCTTTTCCCCTTCACGACGTGCAATACCAAGGGAAGACGAAGACGACATCTGACCGTGACACACACACATGCAGTACAAGGAGCTCGGGTTTCTCACTGGAGCTACGTCTCGAACCTCTCTCTTCCCCTCTCTAATAAATCAGCCTTGTGTATCCAGAGTCATGGACTACAGCCGCCTATGTACAGATGGATCAAGAACACTGAATAAGACCCAAGCCCCGTGAGATTCATCTGCTTAGCGTTTCAGATCTCCGATGTGTACCGCCTGTATTGCTACAGAATCAGATGAAATACTTTCGTTGAATGGAACGGTGAGGGCATCAAGCATGAGGTGTGGCCCCACACTATTCGATACTTTTTTTTCAGTTTTAAAAAATGGATGAATCAACATCGGCTCATGGAATAAGTTACTCAATGACCATTGAGATATTAAAGTTTCATCAAGTTTTGTTCTCTTTTTTTCAGGTAGTGGTAGTCTACGATTGATGTGAGCCTTTGGATACAGCACCATAAGAATGAAAATCAGCAGCTAGCAATCATAAAGTATCAAGAGCACAATGGAAGAAATACCTCGACACACAAGCGCCTTTTTAGTTTTCTGCAAACCCAAACCGGGAAATGCCGCGATGGTCTGATCGCTAGATTCGGGGAAATATTCTTCCAAACAAATCTCAATTTCATCCCAAAAATACGGGACTTCACACGAAAAAATGTAACTCATTCTCATACCAATAATAACAATGAAGATCTGTTGGTGGTGGAATCCCATTTAGTTCAGAGAGTGCTTCCCGAATAAGGCGCCTGAATTCCGAGGACCAGCTTTTTCACTTCGCTTCCCAAGTAACACAATTTTGGACTAATATTGGCCCAATGCAGGGTGTTCCTGAGGTTTGCATTTTCCTCCGCGGTCATAGTTACAGGCTTCCCAAAACCTCTCTTCCTCGCTGCCTCCACTCGTCCTCCCCTTAGCTCACAAAACCTTACTTTGAGCGACAAGCAGTATGAAAGACAGCTACTCCCCAAAAAGCAATAAGAGCTTCATGAAGCTCTGTGGCCGTTTCCACGATCGTTAGCTGCTGATTCTCGCGACTTTCCATTATTTTTTACAGGATCTAAAAATCCTACAAAAATTACGAAATTTTACGGAACACACCGAATCAAAATACTATCCCAGAAACCAAATTCAAACAAATAAAGCAATCTGCCGAAAAGCTGTTACTTTATTTTATCACACCTTGCATTCCCAGGGACACAGAGACAGATTCACGAACTACAGGGAGAACTTCATCTCCTATCGACCATTCCGGAAATTCCGGGATGACAGCAGTAATAATCAAATTTTCAAGGAAACGTGTGTTATGTGTCATCGATAACTCACCAGAGCAACCCCATACAGAAAACATATAATTGGGCTTTAAAAAAATTTCATCCTCTGCTTACTCTAGAGAAAGGAGGGTAATGGTAAGTTGAAATAACCTTAAACATATCGCTACATTGTGAGAAAGGATCCATCTCGTGAAAAATTCAAAACAGTTAGGGAAGCTTACTGACCGTCATAGACGGTACGCGCGTAATACGGTGGGTCACGAAAAAAGAAAACGGGAGGAAAATATGAGATGAAGCTTTGAGTCACAGGTCGGAGGCAAAGTCACCCCAGTGCCAAATACCTTGCAGCTTATGACAGATAAAGCCGCTGAAAAACGTAAGGTGAAACGAGCCAGATTGCATAGACGTCTACATAACCTGTATTTCTTTGTCGCCCAAACTAAGCGCGTGTTTGTTCTTTTTAGTCATCTTTCATTTGGTCACACCGCTAAAATCTAACAAGTTTTCTACAACTCTCCTCACACCATAATTTCATCACCATCATAAAGAATCCTATCCGAAATTAAATAGCCCGAAAGAAGAGACAGATATCTCTCACTTCCGCTTTTCATCAGTGCTTCTCCAATTCTGATATTGACAAGCCAAGATACCCTGTCATTGCCCCAGTTGACCAATCTGCGATACCCTCTATTTCCGTGCAGTATGAGGCTGTATACCCATATAGGGGAGAAATCTAAATTGCATCCAATTGTCATTTAACTCGGGGGATAAAAAGGTCCCTCTCTTCTCCAGAGACTGGCTAAGCTTTTCGCAAAATTACTCGAGAATAAAATTTGCGGGACGCCTTGGTTCCAAGGACGGGTATACCTTGCTTGGATCCAGTGTGAAGCCGAAAACCAACAGCGGAATCTAGGAGGAACGGCGGGTCATATGGTAACCAACATTAGACTCAGCAACAGAAAGAAAAAATCACGGTACCGTCTTCTTAAGAAAGACGCTTATCTATGGAGAAAAGAAGCGAACGGTCGTGGTCCTACCTTAGGAGAGAGTCCCATTGAGACCAGAGGAGATAGCAAATATGAGACAGAGACAAAGAACGGAGAAGATAGATGGAAGTCCTGTCAGAGGCAGAGCCAGAGGACAGATTCAAGGAACTGGTCGCACATCAAACACAGACACAGACGAGGTCCTCTCCCTCAGGAACCCTTTCTCCAGATCGATTGGGGGTGGACGGTCTTCTTTGAGATGAAGGAGGGCAACGGATGGGAAGAATGACAGGGGATTCCAGGTTGCAGGGGGGGGATATATCAGGCCTGCTTTCCCGGGCATGCGCCTCCCTTTTCCTTTGCCGTCTGCCAACTAACTCTCCTCCTCCTTTGGTAGAATCTTCAACTAACAAGCCTCCAACACCTTTGCAACTACGTTTTGAGGAAATATACCTAAGCCCTTCCGCGGCAATCCCAATCTGAATTCGTAATTTATAGAGTTTCCAATGGAAATCACAAAATCTCCTCGCAGTAGGTACTTATAACGAACATAAGATGCATACATTGAACTGAGCACTTATATCAAAGGAACTCCCCACACTACCTTATAATTTAATCTGGGGAAAATTCGGCTTTTCGGATGGACACGAAGTCGGAAAGGAAACCAAGCTCAACTAAATTAGCCACTTAAAGGGTTAATCATATTAATACCCCACGATCTTTCCGTGCCACATTAATTACTTTAGTGTCAACTATGGGACAATCCATGCTAGACCGACACAACCGTAAAATATTATTTCCTCCTATTTTCACGATGTTTAGAACTATTCTCTGCAGCGTTGAGGACCAGAGATCCACATTTTTTATTTTGTCACTAGTTTCTCGCGATGTAGGGATATTAAAAAAAAAAGCCTATTTGGTGTGCTAGTGATACCCTTTTAACTCGTTCATTCCCTTAATCATTTCTGTACCAATTGAGCGAGAATCTCTTTAAAGTTCCTTTTCTGCGCTCTCCAATGATACAAATTGCATTACACCCATTTGCAATACATAATCTAATAACAAAGCAAGGATGGAAACCTAAGACTTATTTTAGCAATATTATATCTGTTGGGATTTTACTGATATAGTCTGTATCTATAAGAAATATTGCTGGTACGCCAAAATAAATCATATTCAGACATTAAGATCTTTGGGCAATAACAACTGTTTCATTTTTATATGTGATCGCATTAAATATTAGAAAATAATATTACGACTCATCAATATCTGATGTCCAAGATGCAATTCATCTTGACTGGTTGAATCAATATAGTCAAATATCTGCTAATACTTTGACATCACCTAATTTTTACATTTCCAATGATCCACATAGTATTCCACTGGTTAGACATACTGATGATTTTATAAATTTTAATATGATGCTAGGCTTAAATGGATCAAATGAAAATAGAATGTGGGAAGAGACACACCTTCAGAGGACGGACAATGGTGACAGTTTCAATGGTGGTAGTCGGCGCCATCCCCGATGGCTTCCTAAACAAAAACAAAAGAAAACTTTCATTAACCTTCTAACTCCACTGTCAAAGGAAGACAATGAAAAAGGAGGCCAATCAGACAGAATCATAAATATTAACTGTGGAAAAGTATAATTTTTTAAAATGTGCCCATCAATCAATTGATAGAACAGATAGACTCATAAAATAGATCATGCAGATGGAGCAGATCCCCTAATGTACAGTAATTTATTAAGATGAATTGAGCTCCCATTCCTCAAAAATATGAATTCATTTTTCAATTGATAATAAAATGATTATATTGAGGAAGTGGCTGCACAAAATTTTACTTCCTCTTTTTACAATGGCTGGAGTTGACTGAGATTTGGGTAGGACTTGGTGGGGAAATAAATAATCCACTTCAACTTGATCAATCTGACATTTTAATATCATGTCTTTCTTCTGCCAGAAACACTTAACATCTCCATGAAACAGGAATGAGTGCTTAGAGACAAGTATGCTACTTGTAATGAGGAGACTTTTTTACCATCTTATCCCGTGGAGCATTAAAATCCATGCTGTTCATGTACCTTGAGGTATTCTCTTAAAGCTTTCAGCTTATGAATCTGCTATATAGCTCCATTGGTTCCCTTTACAGTGTTTCTCAGTGAGATTTATAAGCTTGACAGAATGCAAGACATCAGTGGCAAAATTCTTCACACTTTCTCTCAAAACGATTTTTACACACTGCATAATCTTTCACACCCTTCCAACAATGAGATGGAAGAAGGGAGTATGGAACATTATGCAATATGTACGCTGTAGACCCGAAGAACTTCCTCCTCTTTGCCTCATGAATGAATAGTGATTTGGAATTACATAACCAATGCCAACAATAGACAATTTCTTACTTCAAGTTATGGGGAACAATGAAAATTTCTTCTTCAACTCATGTTTCCTAGTAAGCTATCCCTGAAAAGTTTACCCTGGGTCATCATAACGACATGAACAAATTTTAATTGCTCAAAACTACATTGGGGAGAGGAGAATAACTGTGATGGCTTGCATTCCTCTGCAGTGACATTCAGTCTGCAGTCTCCCATTACCATCAAGGTAACTTTTCAGAAAGATAATGCTTTAAGCTTATGAACTTAATTGAAATGTGAGAACCATTTGACAATACAAGCACTGCTGAAAACTTGACTAATGCTTCTAGAATTCCTCAGAATAGAGGAAACTGGTGGGGCCAAAGTTTTCTATTTGTATTAGGTCAATAAAGGGAAGAAATTAATCAAATTTATCTTCAATAGCATCCATATGTTTGAATATTAACATATTTCCATTTTCCTTCACAAGTACACAATTTTGAGCCATTGCAACTCTTAAACACAGAGACTATCATTATGATTACCATGATAACCATAATAGTCACTAAATAACATGCATGGCATGGTATTTTGCATACTTGGCTCAGTTGAAATGGTGGTATCCATTTGATAATCTTGGCAAAACTTCATTTTTGAAACACTGGTACACAGAAGACCTCCTGATTCAAGTAACATCTACAGGGTGTCCTGAAAATTTCTGACCCACCCACACAAGATGTGACTAAATGCTATGCCACATACAGTGAAAACATTTTGCTTATCTACAAGGGCTACATGAAGATCTGGGTGATCTACTCAGACCAATAAAAGGCTGTGCTGATGCAGGATGGAGGCCAATGCCTTGGAGGCTTCCTTCGTCAATCTCGTCTCCATCTTCATTTTAGTGGGTCAGAAACTTTCAGAACACCCTGTATACTATCTACCATACCATGAGGGCATGGATTTCATTGCTCAATGAGGTGGAATCAGGCAGACAAACATGTGAATTTAGGACTCCACAATGAAACAACCATAGCTTGAGGCTGCAAGTAGCAAGCCTTGCTGATAAATGTAACAATAAAAGCTCATGTTCAACTCACCTCATATCACCACACTATCCTAGGAAGCATGAGGAGAAGAATTCTTTGAATATATGAATGGCCTAGGACTTGCATAGGCTAAGTCCCACAGGGGATATGACTCACATAACTTAGATAACGAATCCTCTCAGATTAAGGACAATGCCATAAAAGGAGAATTGGTAAAGGTCGACAAGAAGTTTCTGCATGAGTCATTACAATGCCATGGCACTGCAAATTCTGATACATCCATCCAATGCAACTGGCCACACTCATTTTATGATAAGGAAGACAGTTCAGAAAAAGACTTCCAGTTGGTCTCTATAATTCAAATATGCATATCTGAAATCAATGTGTCAACGGCAAATGGCAACATGAGCATTTTTTACATTAATAGCCCTAATTCTGTGCTACTTATAAACCACAGCCATCACTTTCAATTGATATCAATAAAAATCATAAGTTAATGGACCAGATTATTCATGACAAGTTCTGAATTTGGAATTATGAGGTGGACTTAGCATTTCAATGGGGTTGAGTACTTATCATGGTAGGCCCAAGTTGCACTTCAGCACAAGGCTAATAAATTTTCTATGCAAAAAATTATGATTATATGCAAGTTTCCTAAATGTGCATCAAATAGGTACTGAGGGAAACATCAGGAAAATACTTAATTATTTTAAATTCTAAGATATTCAGAATCTACACCAAATTCATAAGTTTACCACAGACTATTGTAGCCTATACCAGCACCAGAGTCCCTTAGGCTTGATGGAGAAGTGGGAAAAAGTCCAACTATTGATGAAACCATGTAAAAATCACCTCAGAATTGATGTACATGTAAAAAATCGAACTAAAATTCACATCTCATAATGATTAGGCCAATTTAGTGTTGCATGAGCATGCTCCCAAGTGTTTACTGAGGAAATGCATATTATTCATTATTGGTAAGAAGAAATTTTCATGCAAAATGGTGATGCAATCTATGCAATTCCACCTTTAATTTGTGCCACCTTAAACATAAGTCAGGGTCACTTGCGATTGGTTGTCTTATTATTGATATAATCATCACAGGTGAAGCTAAAGGTGGAATGAATTCAATTTAAAACCCCTATTACATCTTCCCTTGGCCTCATGTTAAACACAGGGCATCATCAGATGTCCATTGCGATGAGAATCAGATCTTATGAACATAGAGATAGTGATAACTTTACTAACGTTACGATGCATGAACGTTTTAGGCCCAAGGCTCTAGTCAGACGTAGGCTGTGGGCCAACATGTAAGGCCTCGGCCTAAACAGCTGCCGTGATGATGTGGCGTGGATATAACGTGGAAAAAAACAATATCTAAGCGATATATTTTCCACTCACACTTGAAAGATTTAGTATGAAACAGCAAATACTTGTCTTGGCACAGCAAAGAAATTAGGCTTTGGCAAATTGGCATTTTTCCTTCCACAATTTAGTTTAATTTGATTTGGATAGGCCTAACGTTAAGCCTTCCCTCAACCAGATGGTACACCTATAGGGCTTCGCATGGGCCTATCGAATCGATATCGTGTCCTACCTGAGAGGTCTGAAATCCTGAGCTTCGAGGGACTGCTTGTCGAATTCGCTGATATCCGAGAAGGAATCGCCGACAAAACTTACATCTCCGAGAAGTGATCCCTTGCTGGAGGAACCCATTACACTACTGACCTGAAACTCCGATCCTCCTGCCATCTATCGTACCGTGAGCAAATTACGAGCGTGTAGAACATGGGTCATGGCTTGGAACATGGGAGTTAACAGGGTTTATCACTCGAGCCAGACACTTTTTCACTCGACTTGGATACTCAGGCTCGAGGAGCGTCCCATGCACGACTATCCATGGCAAGTGAAGAGTTGTCTGACTCGAGTGAAAAACAGTATAAGGCGATCCATATGCGTAGGCGATCCGTACAAGTACACACTGTCCACGATATGCATGTACCTTTTCGGCTCGACACTTTTCCTTTTGGCTGACACCTATATATGGCACCTCTCAGTGGCGTATTTTACAGGATATAAGGCGCCCCTCCCCCCCAGTACCTTGAAAGAAAGAGCTTAGCTCCCCCCATGCAGAATTTTTTTCAACCATAAGAGCTTTCGTACTCCCGTCGGCACGCGCCCTCCCTCACTCCTTCGCTCGGCACACACCCCACCACCACCACGGGCCTTGGCAGCCCCCTTTCTTCTATCCTGCACCCCTTGGCTCGCGAGCCAAAATACGCCGTTGCTCCTCGAATGCATGGGAGTCGGAGTCGACCAAAACACAGTAATGAGTCCGACCACACACGCTCTGTGCTTCCGTACGCGAGTTCGAACCGAGACGAACGAGGATTCCCGTCCAAATGACACCACCGATGTGAGACTTCCCTAAGTGTTTACTCGTCCTGCCGGGAAACAGACGATCGTAACGGATGACGATCCGAGTGAACCGACTCCCCCTTGCACACGGAGCACGGGACGATTAGGATCGGAACAGCCGGTTGTTCGTCGGAACGTGCCCTCTTCGACGCATCGACGGAATTCCGCGAGGCCGACGTGGGGGCCTTGCAGACAAGGAGACGACTGACGCATTTTTCATCGGGATCGATTGCATTACGGGATCCCCATGAAAAAATTAGGCTCGAGCTGATTTTCGAGAAGAATCGAGGAGAGGTGGCCTCGACCGACTTGAATAACTCAGTGGTTCGTGAACGAGTCCGAACCTGGCTCACGTGTTCGGTCCGGAAACGTGGATTTCTCTTCGTCCCTCGAAACGGCGACCTTTCCCGACCTCGGACGAAGCAGATCCGCGACACGACACGACACTGTTTGTTTGCATCGACGGGCGAAGACGGTGCGACACAGACGACGGATTCCCGTTGGAAGCCGGAAGCATGCGCCCCCGCCTTCGACGAAGGCGCTGATGGATTCGAGAAAAGCCGTTGCGAATGCATCGAAATCCGCGAGAAAGGAAGCGACGAGATCATCTCATGGAGATAATCTCCCGAGAGATCGCTCTAAGCGAGTCGGGTCTCTCCTGGCAGCGACGCGCCCCGCATCCGATCCGAGTCTTTCGTCGTGATCGTGTCAGCTGTGACCGACGGAGAGATTTTCCGCTCTGGCATCCGAAACGACAAGATGCAAGGGGCTGGCATCCGATTCGTTCACTCGAGAGACGCCAGATGGCTCTAGCAGAGGACGGGGGACCTCCTCTAGATTTTCGCGTTCATCGAAGGGGAAACGTAAAGGGGGGGAAGGGGGGGGGGGGCGGGGGACGGGATGGGGGCGGGACTCGTCTATCTCCATCTCCGTCAGGAATCTAATTCTTCAAATGGGATTAATGGGATTACAAAGAAGAGAATTCTTCAGAAAGTGAGCATAATCTGAAGCCAGAAAAGAAGTGGATTCTCGGGCATCTGGGAGAAGGTGTCGACAAGGGAAACAAAGACAATCCGCGAAGAGAATTTATTCATTTTTGGATCCGTTGGGAATACCCGGGTCCTCTCGCTCTCTCTCGGAGAGGATCAGAGAGGATTGGCACGTGTGGCATCCGATTGGCACAAGTGGAATCCGATTGGCACATGTGGCATTCACAACTTAATGCACATAAAGGAATGGTCTGTCGGTTCGACTGGGGCCAGGTGGGGTGCGGCTCGAAATATTTTCGGCGTGGACCAACTTTCTTCGACTTGCAGTTTCAACGGGTCAGTGGTGTAGGGAAGGGGGGGGGGGGGGGGGTTAAGGGGGGCAAACCCCGCCCCCCCTTGGGCTTCCTGGTCAATGACAGGCAGGCATATTTCAACCTTTCTTAGGAATTCCAGTTTTAGTTATCCCATCCCCCTTTCGAGGAAAGTCCAATGTGCATCCACAGACCCAAGATGCCAGACCACAATATCTTCAAAAAGGTAAATTCCGGGTGGTGGAGCTAAGCGTAGGGTTGGGGTGTCTACCTGGCCTCAACCCCCCCCCCCCTTGCCGATTTTCTGCCTACGCCACTGCAACGGGTGGAGGACGGATTAATTTGATTCCAGCTGGGAATCTGGTTCACCAAAAACCAAAAATTAAGAGATGGTTTGGAAGCACCAAAATGCATTCTTCAGGTATTAAAATCGTCCAAACTTCGATTTTTCTTTTTTTTTTCCCCGATTGTTACGATTTTTTTCCCGTCTGGAATGATAACTTCCTCACGTCTGTCGAGCGAAAATGCCCCCAATGCGAGTGGAAGTTTCTGAAAATTTTTGTGGTTTTTCTGTGACCTGGGCTGTGCAATGCAATCACTCGGTAAAATTTGCACAATCGTTACGGCACGAGATGCAGTTGAACATTGCCTCATTCTTCACATCGTTAAAAGCAAGTAGCCGTAAAATGAATACAGAATATATTTCCCTCGGTCGCCATGCAGGCTGATCCAAAAAAGAAGGACGTTTCACCGCGTACAATCGGTACACGGTCATCGCTTCCGCGAAGTCTTCACATCGGCGACCACCGTCACGAACGCAGTCTCTGCCGGATCCGAACAGTAGCACATCCGATCCATTCATTGGAGAAAAGCCAGAGAACGGCAGGGTCGCCCTGAGGTTTCAGAAGGCGCTTCCTCCCTCCCTTCCTCCCTCCCTTCCACCATTCACATCAATCTGTCAATACGATACGGTGCGCCGTACAAGGAGAGACAGAGGTGTTGAGAGAAGAGTCGAGGGGCTTCACGGAGGGGAGAAGGAGGGGGAGGGGGAGGGGGATGGGGGGGGAGGGGGGGTTGGTGATCCGGACCTCCTAAAGTGGGTCAGCTTCACCGTTCCCTAACACGCGCCTCTCCCCCTCTCCCCTCCCCCCTCCCCCTTCACGCATTTCCCCCTAAGGAAATAAGGAGTGGATGAAGTTGTCGGAACAAGGATGGGGGGGGGGGGGGGGGGGGGAAGGGAGCAATTTATTACCCCCCAAAATGACATGTCAGGTCCAATCTAGACGCATTCCTCCGCGAGGTGCTCCTGGCAAGCACTCGGGTCTTTCATGACACTCCAGAAAAATTAATTGGAAATTCATAAGTTCCTGGCTGATTGCGGCCGGGTAATGGAAGCTGGGAGGCCACTTCACCGACCTTCCAACACTGATCTAATGTTGAGGGAATGGGGGAAAAGGAATTTTAATTAATGTACCAAATGGTTTTGGGCCACCGATTGCAGCCGAGAAACCATTTCAAGCATTCCAAGACGTCATTAGATTTTCTGCGGCGTGGAACGAGGCGCCGGAGAGTTGGGGGGGGGGGGACGCCCCCGCGCCCTCCTCTGCATCTGTCACACTCCGAAAATGTCTGTGTGTAGTCTACAACGACTCCATTCGTGCCCCCTAACCTCTCTAACTTTTTGTTTGCGCCCCCCATCCCTCAACGACCTTGGCTTAGCGTCGCGGCCCCCCTTTCCTTCTGAGAGGAGTACCAGGAAATGGAGCCAACCCAACATATGTTTCCTTCATACATTGCAGATTCAGATTGAAAGAAATAAAGAATAAAGCGATTGCTAGAATCGCCAGAGTTCAAGGACCAATGTTGAAGGTTCAAGGTCACGGCAAGGACCGAGCCGCCAAATTCGAGAACGACACCCACGTGCTTCCGGGCCCACACGAGAGGTGCGCTTCCGGGTCCACACGAGCGATGCTTCCGGGCCCACAGAGATCAAGTTCGGACTGGACATTTTCGGGATAATTTTGAAAGACCTTTCAGAGAACCGCCGAAAACTCTTCGACGCCAGCAGAAAAGTCAAACTCTCAAATATTCTCAAACATTAATATATAATAAATAAATAAATAAATACTCAGACACATACTCAGGTTCGGATTGCAGCTAATTTATTACTCATACCAGTTAATGATCCCAGTGCATCGGCTCTCTCTCTTAGCCGATCTCTCTTCGATTAAAAGCCTAGGGAAGTGGCAGAACCCTTCGGGCACGAATCTCCACACCCGAGGAGAAACACTCTTACTGCCAGACGGTGGTCCTGCAGATGGTGACTCGAGCATCGTCGTGTCTACGCGCACAGAACGCTCAGCACTAGGTTCCTCCTGGAACCAGAGGTGCGAACCTCGTCCAGCTAATGGACTGTGCACGAAGCGATGCATGTAGGACGGACTTAAAGCTGTGGAAGCTTTCTGTTACTTATGTTGCGGCAGCCACTGTCTTCCTTAATGATCGTTCCCCGGTGTGGAGATGTCGAAAAGGGTTTTACCACACTGCAAGTTGTTTGGTGGGGTCGTGCCCCCCGACGAGACTCCTACGACTTGCCAGTCCGTTAGGCTTCCTTAGCTATCCTTCGCTTTTTTTTGGTATTCTCTTCTCATTTTCCCTCAATAGTTCGGACTCGTGCTGGCTGTAGGTTTGGCTCGATCGGCGTGATTTTCTCACGAATAAAATTAGTCTAGGTGTCCGTCGTTGTCGGCTATCGCTCCCAGCACCTGGGTTGTCCCGAATATGTCATCCCGAAGGGATATTCTTTTCATATATAATGAATCAATAAAATACTGCACCGAGCATTCGAGTGACGGCCCTCAGCCGTCGCCTCGTTCGTTATTCTCGCACCGAGGAGCCGGAAAAGACATTGGTGGTAAAAATCGGTTTTCCGTCCTAAATCCTAAATTCGGCATCTTCGCAAGGCCGCGAAAGAACGCCGACATCTTTCCTTCAAAATACCACTCTGCTCGACACGACGGTACTCCCTGGAGTACTTTGTGGACCCGAAACATGGAGACCCGGCAAAACGAAAATGAATCCGATCGAGGTTATATATATCGTATATATACCGTATATGAAGTATCGTATATGAGCAGGATCGTAGCTCTTCCCAACATTGCCAGCTCGGTTGCCGTAAAGTGGGAGCCGAGTTGGATCTCACTGAAATAGGGACCAACGGAGAATCAGGTTTTCGGAGCGATTACGGGGAAGAAAAAAGATGATCCATTGGATCATGAAATGAGGATCATCCCCATACGGGGATGATCCATTGCTCTCCAGCAATGCCCATTTGCATTGCAAGAAAAAAACAGCTGAACATGCCGAACCGATCGAACGAGATCGAACTGTCCTTTGCATAAAGGACATGTCCATGGTTTTTTTTCCCCGACGGCAAAGAAAAGGATGGTTCGAATTTGAAAAACAGCACGAAGTAATGAAGCAGCAGAGAACATCGAGGGAAAAAATGTCCTCGTTGTTGGAAAGCGGAAGACGACTTCGCGTGACGAGTGCGAAGCGTGTCGGAAAATTAGAAAATAAAATAATTACAGGAGCAAGTATTATTTGGAGATCTTCCAGTGAATATAAGTTGAGGCAACTGTTTGAGAGAAATATTAGAAAAAAAGGGAAAACTGCTGAGAGCAAATACAGATCATTCCTGAAGGGAAAGATTTTAAATAAAAGAAATAAATGAAGAGAAAATGAGCCGATGTGAGTTTTAGGCGGTAAAAGATGACGTTAGAGGTGTCAAATTATGGTATTAGAGTACGTGCTGAATTACCTGATTGATCGAAGATACCTCTATGTAAAAAATAATTATAGATTTTTTTTTAAATTGGACGTTCCTGCCCAAGCCGCAGAGCACAGTGCCCAGCATCGTGCCGAGCATGGTGCCCAGTACGGTCGATCGGTGCTCGCTCCTCGACCGCTCTTGACATGCGGACCACAGGCGGCGATCCGCGGGGACTCAGGGGGGGCTCAGGGGGGCTCAGGGGGGGGCTCAGGGGGGCTCAGGGGGGCTCGAGCCCCCCAAAAATTAGTGGGCTCACGGCGAGGACACAAAATAAGGAAGATTGAGGATGTCTCTGGGCTCCCTCGGATTATTCGAGGAATCGCCGCCCGTGCACCCGAGTTTCTTCAATGCTTTCGCGGATGGAAACGAGGTGATACGAGAGTTACTCGGTTACCTGAGGGTCACTCGGTAACCGGGTGGTTACTTCTACCTTTGTCTCCTCTGCGTCGGTGAACACTTGCTCTGCTTCGTTCGGGGCGCTTTCGGCACGTGAAGAAAATCCGTTCGGATTTCCATTTCCCTCGTTTTTCGTCGGAGAGGTGCTACTCATCGATGAATGGGGGTCTAACGACGCGCGAGGCTCGAGGCCGATTCGATCCCGGGAAATCCGGAGGGATCATCCTCGGATCATCCTCCGCGAAGCCTCGATCCCGTCTGCGACTCGAAGTCGAAAAAAAAAACGGGAATCCTGCTCGACGGGATCGAAGATAAGAAAACGGCTCAACGGTTCCAGAATGTTGCGGGACTCGAGACACGAATCCCTCGCTATCTTCCCGCTATCTTCCCGCTATCTCTCTCCGGAACGAAGAGGCAAGCAGGCAGTTATCTCATGGCTCTGCGTTGCCTCTAAAGCATGCTGGCTTCATTTACTCAGCAAACACTCAGCCGGTTCCGAGACGAATTTCCTGGATTTCGCCGAATCGATACCGTGGCTGGTCCTTTTCCCGTCCGGATCCGGGATCGGGGAGGAATCGGAGGATGGAGCAAATGGAGGATGGAGCAAATGGAGGATGGAACAAATGGAGGATGGAGCAAATGGAGGATGGGGCAGGTGGAGGATGGAGCAAATGGAGGGTGGGGCAGGTGGAGGATGGAGCAAATTGATTATAGACTTTCTTTATGGTCTTCGATCAGTATGGAGCGATTTCTGACTCACGAAGGAGATCTCTCTCCTTTTTTTTTTTTTTTTTTTTCGTTTATCACCTTCCTTTTTTTTTTTTTTTTGCTTCGTGGATCAACTCCTCCTTTTTTCACACTTTCGAGAAAAAAAAAATTTTCCCTCTTATCTGAAGATATGAAAGAGATCCGCATTTCTGCCGCTTCACGAAGCGAGACAAAAAAATTTTTTTTTTTCGTTTCAGCGGGATTTGCAAGGGAAACATCGTCGGGATGGAATTCCCCGAAAATGAAAGTTTTCAATTTCGCGGGGCAGGTGCGACGCCTCGGCTCTTTCTCCGTCTTTCTTCCTTTCAGACCAATTTCTTTCTCGCTTTCCCATTTCTTTCTTTCTCTCTTTCTTTCTCTCTTTCTTACTTTCTGGCATATGGGGCCGAGGAATCCAATCGGACCTTTGTTTGCCGAGCCGCATCGATCGGTCGCGAACCTTTTTTTTCCCGTCAAAACGCATTTTCCAGATGGCGCGAATTTCCGCTTTTTTTCCCGCGATTTTTCATTCGATAATTTGTCAGAAGGGGATGGGGATGGGGATGAGGATGAGGATGAGGATGAGGCTTCTCGATGATTGTCTGCCGCGCAGTCTGCCCGAGAGAAAAAAATGGAACCGAGAAGACAAATAGTCGGCCGCGTCAGCCACGATGAAGAAATATGAGAGATCTGGGCTTCTTGTGGGGGAGGGGGGGGGGGGGGGAAGGGGGGGGAAGGGGGGCAAGGGGGGGCGAGGGGGGAAGGGGGGATTGGCCACCCACAGACTGACCACAGGGAATACAGATAAACGTTTCGAGTCGCAATTCGCGTTTGATAAGATTTTCTCTCATATTTTTCTTCTTTTTTTGCGCGCGCTTTCCCACGTAATTGGCATCGTTGAATCTCGAAGCAAGAAAGGAATTTTTGTTGTTGCTTCGCGTCCCGGGCCCGATAAGGACCCTCAGACGAGTCCGTGCCGACTTCCACCCTGATAAATGAAACGGCATGCTTCCTCGTTTTCGAGGAACTGCCCGAAAAAATGGAATGACTCAGCGGCGCAGCCCAGCGATTTCCCGCCAGCGATTTCCCGCCAGCGATTTCCCGCCAGCGGTTTCCCGCTCGGCGGCGACGAAACGGCGCAGGAAAAAAAACTCACGGAAATTTCTGTTCCAAAATGATGTATTCCGCTTGACTGATGGGCCTCGATTTCGCGTCTGGAGTCGACATTCAGCCTCGGGGTGGGTGAGGGTGCACACCCGCCCACCGACACACCTGCACACCGACGCACCTGCACACCTGCACCCTCGAATCACAACCGCACACTCATCACTCGGCAGCCTCGAGCGAGCGTCTAGTCATGCGAACGGAAGGAGAGCGAGCGAGCGAGCGAGCGACGATAAGGACAGATATCGGTCGAGGCCTATTTCTATCTGGGGGCGGAAACGCGCTTATCATCATCCTCCTCCTCCTCCTCCTCCTCTTTCCATTGTGAATGACGTCATGGAGGTACAGCGTTTGTAACTTGCCTTTCTCACGTCCCGGCAGGCGCATGGCGGTCGAGCGTTTTCTCTCAGTCGCCGGGGAGCGAGGGGAGCGTGAGCTTCTAAAAGGCTGCGTTCTCCCTTCGAACCGTTCGAATTCGTTCACTGTTGCAGGTGAGGAGAAATGAGGGATAAATGAGGGATAAATGAGGGATAAATGAGGGATGTGGAGTTCCTCAAAGGATCCTTTGCCTCATCGTGGAGTCTTCTGCTCCTTTCGTCGTCGACTGCCTCCGGTTCGTCGTCGGAATCGATAACGACTCTCAAACGAGACCGCGTTTTCCGCTTGGAAGGAAAATTCAAGATGGCTTCTTTCCATTTCCTATTTTTCGGGATGATCCGAATTTTACAACTAATTGTGCTAATATTAATAATGTAGTAAATACGTTCGTAAAACGACACAACGTGTTCGTTATGCTTGCTCTATTGCCGATTCCAAAAAATTGCCACGATCAGAAAAACCGGGGAATTCGGCAATGGGTGCTTTCATCACTCCCCGGAATTGTTATCTCACTGTTGCATGCTACAATACAAATAATTCCTATTTTTTTTGTCATGCATTTCCTTTCTCTCTCGCCTCCCCCGTTTCGTCGTTTTTGAGGGATTTTTTTTTTTTTTTTTTACTGAAACGGGAGCGGAAATTCCCAAGGCCACGAGGATGTTTGAACTTCGTCGGAGACTCGCGAAAAATTATTGAATTTCTTTTTGTCTCCATGGAAAGGCTTTGCGCGAACATGCAATGGGAAGTTTGTCGATCGCATTGTGAGGCTCCGTGGAAAGATTCTCTCATAAAATTGCGCTTTAGCATTATTTTAAACTCGTTTTTCTGCCCGCCAAAGCCGAAACTTTTCCGCAATTTTTTTTTAATCTTGTTTTTTTTCTCTGCAATTTTTCCCGATTTTTACAGAGCCACCTTAAAATTTAGACAAAATCTTCGAATGTATCGCAAAAAGATCCACCAATCAGGAAGGACGCGGCGTGATCGCGTCGGGAAGATCCACCAATCAGGAAGGACCCGATGGCCCGGCTCGCCTCGGAGCCACCGAGCCTCCACAAGCCGAGTCAGTGCCCAGTCGGACGGCGGACGATCCGCTCGGTCGCCGGATCCCTCCGAGTCCCATCGCGGTGTCGATCGAAAGTCTGGAACTCGACCGCCTGGTGATACGTTCGCGCCCCCGTCCTCGGAAACAGGTAAACCTCTCTCGTGTTTAATGGGAAATTCCTGGGGTGCATCGCCAGGGTTTTGGAATTTCTCATTTTGTGCTTGATGGCATGCTCCTGCTTGTCGAGGACTTTTCCTTCTTAACGAGTACCTCTCAGTCAGCTTTAAAAAAAAAAATGGTATCTTCGAAATTGCTTTCGCTTATAGTTACGCGATAGGGAAGGGGGTCCGCGGGTTCAGAAAGGTCGATAAACCACAGCTCTAGAAACAAGGAAACACGGCATCGCGGCGATTCACACCCTAATTTAAACACGGGTAACAAATCCTCGCGAAGCATTCTCGAGGAGATCGTGGAATCCCCGAAAAGCGATTCTTCGGAAAGCCGATCGATTACTGCTGTTAATGCTCGAGTGCGCACGTGGGTTTTCGTGGGATTTCGTTCTGAGCCTTCCGAAAATCCTTGGAACGCCGCTGGTGCCTCATGATATGCAAAATCTCAATAATGCATTTTCTCGATTGCATTTTTCTTTCGCAGGTGCAAAATGCTTGAAGCCTGAAAAAGCCACTCGCCACCTCGCTCGAAACGGCCTATCGTCGACCTCACCCCCTCCAAAGGCTTCAAAACAACGGGAAGACGAGACTCGAGTGGGCCCAATCGATGCCTGTCGCGGCCATTCCACTCCATCGTGTCGAGGCTTGCCCATGCAATACGTGAGCGAAATATTGCAGTTCCGATACGAAATCGTCGCCAAGTCTGCTAAAGCGCAGCCCGCCCCAATACGTCGTCTGCTGACGTCACGTGGTTCAAGAATCGCGCGGGCGTCAGTTAGGTTAGATCCTTAACTTATTTTTCTCCTTCATGTTTCCGGTTTTGAGGATTTGAATTTTTTTCTTGCCGTCAACGCGAAACACGATGGAATGTGCTGTTGCGAGCTGCAAAAGTCACCGTGACGTCACAAACGTGACACCTCCGCTTCCCAAGAGATGGAAAAGCTGAAACGGAAGTGGCTACACGCAGGCCACCGTGCGAACGCGATGCCCACACGCACGCCGTCCGTGCGGCTCTTCCTCTCAGCCTGAAGACGGTGAGCGTTCGTCGACTCGTCAGTTGTTTCGTCGACGTTGTTGCGATATTGCCCCCGAAGGACGAAGGAAGCTCAAAGAAGATGCGATCCCGATCCAGAATTAGCTTTCCTCAACGAGTAAGCATTCCCAAGCTTGCACTTCTGAGCAAATTTTCATTCAATAGGCAACCTAATATGGATGAAATCGCAAAAGAATCTCGGAAAATCGGATTCTCCAATATTGAATCTGCAGGGAAAATGCATTTTCGAAGGGCTCATAAATTTTACACGGAGAGAAATAAACTTTTTTTTCTCTGCTTGAAAGAATCTGTTTGACTTCACTTCCTCTCACTTTTTTGCATGCAAACATGGAAAAACACGATTGAGGACCGGATCGGCGCGATGAACTCCTGGAAAGGTTTGGATTGCTTGAAGCCCCTCAGATTTCGTTTTGGTGTTCGCTTTCAGAAACAGATATTGCTGCAGTCCAGAAAGTCACGAAGTTCATTCTTTTCGCGTTAGTGAAGAGAATGAATTTTGACCTCTCCTGGAAGAAATCTCTCCAGTCATCTTTCAAAAAGTCCATGATGATGGACAGAGTGTCAGATCATAGAATTGTTTAACCCTCCCCCGGCCCTATCGCAAAGCGTTGGTTCCCCAGATATTACCCTATTTTACAAAAAAAAGTATTTTGTACGACAAATAGTCTTTAATCCAACAGATGAACTAGGAGTCTGTAAACAAAACGAACGCTTACGAGCGATTTGGCCGAGAGCGACAATTTTGTCAAGAGCGCTTTGATCAGGAGAGGATTAATCAGCGTCTGTTCGTGGAACCAATGTTCCAAGCATTTCATGGGTGCGATGACACTTCGATAACAGGGAAGAAGGGTGTCATGTAGGACTTAGCAAATCTTACGAATAAAGAAATGTCTGCCTTGCTTCAGGTCACGCACGCTTTTGTGCGATGCCGTACTATCTTGGGAATTCGGAAAGAGAACGATGAGAGAGCACAGAGACACACCCGATGTGAACAAAATTAGTCGACGAATGGACAGAATGGAAGAAAAAAAAGATTGAAAGTAACCAGAGTGTTCTCAAATACATCATCCTTTCTTCCAGCCTGATTTGAATAACTCCATTCCTCCAAAAATGAAGCCATAAATGCAGTAGAAAATTTAGCGATCGCTAGGAGCTTTAATGCGGTAGCAGACGACGCTGCACTCTCTCGAACCGCGTGACGTCATGCGCGGAGAGGGTTCGAAACTCGCTCTGCCGTCGAGCAGATCCGTCTAGTCTACGATCTCGGTTTCGAGGCGGAGCGGATTCCCCACTCTGTTCATTTCATCAGGAATGAGGGAAATTGGCTCGAGCCAATTCGTGGCAAGCGGGCAATATTGGCAATATTGGATCGTTCCAAACGATGGGCGGAAGAGGCTGCAGTGAGTGTGTCCTCGCAAAATTCCTATTTACGAAATCCGGGCTTGGCTGAGACGAGTCGACTTTCGCGTTCGAAGTTTCTCGGCATCGCGTAGCATTCTCATCGGTAGAATAGATCGAAAGAAAATGAGTGCGAATGGGGACGAATTTAAACGTCGGAGAGGCGACATTTGGAAAAATACGGAAACGTGGGGGGAAATGGTGAATTTCAAGGGCAAAAGGTACATCAGACTAATCGCGAGAGAATTTACCTCTTGCGTGAGAAACGTGCATTTATCGAGAGAAGATTAAAGGGAAGATACGAGGACCGCAAAGCTGGAATGAACCTGACAATGATCTTGAAAGGGAACCCTTGGAATCCTTCGGCACGGAAACGAAGATCCCCTCGCGTCGTTAAATCGATGCCGATAACGATTGTCCCGTGAAGAGCCTCGCCGTCAGGGACATCATTTGGTAAATAGTGCGCTTGTGGATGCGAACGGGCCAGGAAGCTTCTTTTTGGAATCGTCTGATGGCGATGGCTTTGTTTTTGTGTTTTCCCTTAAAAAAAAAAAAACAGTATGTCATCTTTGAGGAAGAATGAGCAGTGCGCAAATGAATACTATCAATAAGCCATCATTACATTTCATTCCCTTGATGAGGCATTCCTTTTCAGTTGCTTTGCAAAACCATGGACTACCCAGTTAAATTGCACGGGGAATAAGAGGCATTCAGGGGGAGATTGGGGTGTCGATTTCAATTCTATTAATTTCGACTAATTTTTTTAATTTGCGATTAATACTTTAATCGATTAATCGGTCGATTAATCTAATCTTGGGGGACGGCCCTAAAAAAAGCACAGTTCAGCCAGAAATGTTATTGCCTGCTCAATTTCGCGAATTTTACGAGGCACAGAAAATCGTGAAATTGAATCGCTGGCGAATTTTCTCCCGTTTGGGCTAAAGACCAAAACATAGGGAGTGGCCCAGTTCGTGAAATTCAAAATTCGCGAAATTAAAAAAAAATAAAAAATAATGAGTTATAAAAAAGGGCAGATGATAGAATTTCACGAAATTACATCGGCGCCAGAAATCCTCCTTGCGTTGTCATGTAAAGTTGCTCCAAGAAAAATGATATTTAATTAGATGAAACTACAAACATTATTGCACTCGGCTGCAGAAAATCTCCCGAATGAGAGTTCAAGAGGCGTAGAGCAGATTCGCAGAAGTTCTCTGGTTCAGGCAAACCGTTTCAACGCCCACGAAATCGATTCAATTTAACGGCAACAGCTGAGAGCGAGGAACTTTCGAATTTTGCGAATTCGTCGACCGATTTACTGGGTGTTCGGTTTTGGTGCGGCCAATCGCAGACGACTCCACTTTCCTTTTTGGCAGAGTTAAAACAGGGTCGATTGACTGCAAGGTTCGAGAGCGCACCTCTTGAGTTCACGAATGCTCTGAGATTTAACAACAGCAACAAAAAAACAGGAGCTATGAAAACAATGCCGCATTAGAGCTCTGAAGCCAGGCTTTCCGGCTATTACATTACGGGAATAAAGGAGGCTATTTAAAAATCGCCTCAAGACACGGTGGGAGGGGGGGGGGGGGGGAGTTGGCCCCCCCTTTTGCCGCCCCAAAATGACGTCTTT